AGCAAAGAGCCTGGCTACAGTGGGCCAATGCTGGCTGCTTCCTACTGCCTGTCCCAGTCGTGTCACTGCAGTCCTCTGCCCCAGCTGTCCTTGTCACCAGGGCGAACGCTTCCTGCCTCCGCTCAGCCAAGAGGAGGGGACGTGGATCTCCCCTTTCTTCTCCCCTGGGCTGGCACAGGCAGCCATGCCCGTCCCCACAGCACTGAGCGAAGGCTCAGTCTTGGCACAGATAACGGGCCGGATCTCCCGCCTGGCCTCACCCCTCTTCCCCTTCACAGCGGCACACAGGAGGGTGGGATAGCTCGTCCTAGGAACACCCCCAGCAACCCTCTTGTCACTTCATCTTCTCCGTTTTCTCCTCCTCCTCCTCTTCCATCTGTGCAGGGGTTTGCATCTCTCCTCTTCCTCCCCCCCATCTGTACATCCTTCCCTTTCTCCCGGCACATCAATAGCGAGCTGTCTTTCTCCTCTCTTCCCCAGGGTAATGAGTACTCCCTCCCAGCTCTGACCCCTGGTCTCGATGAAGTCAAATCAAGTCTATCCACCTCTGCTAACCCAGACCTGGGGACTAATGTGTCAGGACCCCAGACGTACCCTGTGGTGACCGGTAAGCTGCCTGACCAAACAGCAGAACCAAGCTTTTTATTTATTTCCCTCATCACCATTAGCTTCTGCTTTTTCTGCTAATGCAAGATATCCCTCTGTGGCAAACATGGAAAGAGACAGAAAGAATGTGGAGGATGTAAGGGCTCAAGAGAAGCTTGAAAATCAGAGTATTGGTGGTTTTGGGTACACCTACAGGTGCCCAGGTGTGACTCAAAGACAGGCAAACCCAGGAGTGGATCGGGAACTTGGGTGCCCAGACGGGGCTTAGGGATGAATGGTGGAGGACAGGTATGTCCAAATACGAACTGTGATCTTTTTCCTTTGTGTCCGAGAGCAAGAGGGTCGTGGTTTACCCATGATCCACACTTGGTTATCTTGGGGAGAAATAATAATTTAAGTTTTGTTCAGCCCTGGCATTTGGAAGGGGCATTTGCAAACTGAATACTGAGGTCTGCTAAACTGTGACTGCTAACTTCCCTCTTCCTTAAGCCCATGAGTCTCTAAGAGCAGCTGGCAAAAGAAATTTGTTCACAGCCTTCCCCCTTCCCTCCCACGTGGGCACATTAAGCTCGGGTGTGAATGGGAGAGTAGGAAATGAGAGCAAGTGCAAGACAGTAGAGGAATCGGGATGCACAGAAGTAGGAGGCAATTTCTGCAGCAGCTGCTCTGCAGAAGCTTCCCCTTCGCTGGTGGCACGCGCAGGACCTGAGCGGCACAGGGTTGTCCTGGGGCCACAGGGCATGCCGTCCTGATACTGTTAGACTGCCTGCCCTGTGCATGTCTGGAGCCATAAGGAGATATTCTGGTGCCACAGCCCTTCTTCTCAGGCTTTAGTTGCCACTGCTCCCTGCTTACACAGCTACCACGGATTTGCACATCTCCTCCTGGGTAGCTAGAGCAGCTGGCAAGGCCCGAGTGCCTCGCCCCGGTCTGGCATATCCTACTTGCCCTACAACTGCTGTGGCCCTTCTAGAAACCTCATGATGTAAGCTGAGAAATAACTCATGACAAAGAGGTCTAAGTCCTGTTACCAAGGGGAGGAGCTGTTGCCTCTTGGCCAAAAAGCTGTCCTCTGATGGCACAGAATCAAGAGCACTGGAGTTTGTATCAACTTTTTCTTGCAGAAGCCCCAACTAATAGCCCCTGAGGTCAGAGCAGCTCATGTCTGAGGCAGGCAGTCATTGCTTGTTCAGCAAACGCTGAGCAAAGGCGTATTATTACATGCAGCTTTCGGCTACCAGAACTTTGGGACCGGGCAGGATTAGTAACAGTTACCCCAAATACAGAGGAGATCCAGCGTGAGGTCTGCAAAATATCATGGAGAACCATGGGGAGGCGAACTGCATTATTTAGGGAGTGTCTAGAAGGCGTGACATCCCCAGGCTTTTTTCATGGCTTTTACTGCTATCAGGCTTGATCCAGGAGCCTTGTAGCCATGGAGTTTCTTAGCCAACCAGAAAAAAATGGCTCAGCTGTGGCAAAATTGTTCCACCTTTCTTTGTATTTGCATATGCAAGACAAAACTCAGCTGCTGTCCGGCTACCATCTAGCAGATCTACATCTCTTACAGGAAATACTTTCTTGTCTTCAGGGGGCAAAGCCAGTAGGAAAGTAGCACTGTCCTTCCTTCATGGAAGGCAGATCCCCATAGCTGGAGGTAAAGGTGAGGCACCTAAAATCAGAGTTTAAGATTCAAAGGGGCCATTAAAGTAATTCTTTTTAGTCCTTCTGCCTAAGTGAAGATGGTGAATTCCAGCCCATTAACATGAGAGCAGAATTTCCGAAGGCTGGGGACACTGCACAAGCTTTGGACACGACTCTCACAAGGGGACAGCAGGAGACAAATTTGGCCTCACAGAAGAGGCTGTGGGCTGAGGCAGAAAATCTTCTTCATGTCCCTCCCAACCCTGTGCCATCCCCACTCTGTTCCCTGCAACACTCCCAGCTCAGCTCGAGAACATCCCCATCTGATCCATCTGGATCCAAGAGTGAGAAAAGTTCATTTCAGACCCAGCTTGACATTCCCAGGTGGCAACTTAGCACTAACATCTCAATCTGTATGCGACATTTCAATCAGCGCAGAGTAACAAAAGCAGAACTATTAGTGTTGGGAGCTGTTCAGTGGTGGTAATGATGGGGAAACTCAGAAACTGGAAATGAAAAGGGAAAAAAAAACCCTCAACACCCTGAAAGGCAGCAGGGGAAGAGGGGCGGAGAATTTTTCCTCTACACTTAGGCCAGGATCCAATGTTTGGATTAATGGTGCCATTACCCAAGAAAGGACTTCAGATAATGCTCATTCTTAAAATGTTTTTGCTGGCAATTAAATGGTTGCAGTTATTGATCTTCATTGATCTGATGTCCTCAATTTGCATAATCTATTAAAGATGAATGATTCATGATATGTTTGCTATGGGGCTGGGCAGTGCCTTCAGGAAGGACCAGAGAGGTGAGGAACTCAGTGCTGCCTCCTGATGTCCCCTGGCCAGGAAATTAAGGAAGAGGCTGGGAGCGTGCAGATTTCTTTGGTATCACCCAGATCCCTCTCCCAAGAAGGGATACTGGAGGAACAGCGAGTACTGAATTGCTGGCTGCCTGTTTTGCTGCTATAGTGTCATCTTTGAAATGCCTCTTTGCTCTTGTCCCAGGGCAGTCTGTGAACCTGAAACGATGTGAAACAAATCCACCCATGCAGGGTACAAACTCTGTGTGCAGTCACGTCAGGATGCAAGATTTAGCTTCAGTCTACAAGAAAGCCTCCCCAGCTCAGTCTTCCCAGACAGAGAACAGTATCACTAGCTCTTTCCAAACCAAAGCTGTCTGGCATTGGATTCTTGCCCTTTCTGAAGACTTCAGAGAAAGTCCTTCTCCTCTCTCTGGCTCATGACTAGCTTTCCTCAGCAAGCTCTCTGAGCTCACACCGTTCTGAGAATACACCCCTCCAAAAGCCATCAGAACCTCAACAATATGTAACTACCTAAAACCTTGGAATGTACCGAGATAGTTAAGTACAGATGTTGCTGAAGTCCCTTTGTCTGTCTGTGAGCTTCCTAGAATTGAAGAGCTAGAAATGCTGCAAAACAGGCAGCCACCTCCCTAATGTGCAGGAAGGCCTTCCCCAAAGTCCTGGCATCTATTCTAAGACACAGCTTAGCACCACAGTTGCATACAGCACAGCCTTGCCTAGTACTGCAAATATCAAACACTGCCTTTCAGACAATTATTCTGTCTAATGCATCTTAGATGGTCCATTTATTACTCACATCTCCTAAAGCAAGTAAACAAAAACATTTGTTTACTATGGAGCAGACAGGTCACCCTTCTTTCTCCCCATTAAGTATCTGCGAGGAATTTCTATGAACAAGCTGACACTTAGGGGCTAGCTGGGCACTAGGCTAGGAAACATGCTCCCACTGTCCTTCATATAGAACAGACAATGTAGAAATTGTCAACTGCCTTATGAAATATCAGAGAGAGAAAGCTCTTAAGAGGTGCCTGAGAACACCACCTCACCTCTTCCTTCACACACACAGGCCAGTGGGCCAGCTACATCTTGCCTAGATATTGCATGGCCATCATAGGCAGATTGGCATAGATCCCTGACAGTTTCTTGGACAGTATGTTTGGACACCAATCAGATTTCCTAGAAGCAAAGATCCAAGCTTGAACATACCAAGATAAGGCAAGTACATGCAGTTGAACACCAAGACAAGAATTCTGTTGTTCAGAGATGTTCTACTTTGATTATTTCTATTGAAGGGAAACAGCCCAGGCAGGTGAATATAAACCTGTACAGGGCTAAGTAAACACAGAAAACCTCAATAGCTTTCTTTTATTCAGTAGTTTCCACGGGTCTTTGATTTTGGAAGGTACTCAGTAGCTAACACCCGAGAGGTGAGCGGAGGAGAACCTCAAGATTCTGGCACTAGCAACAGGAGTACTTTAAAAGCACAAGGTTGTTCACAGATGCCTTGAATCCTTTGAGAACAACGGTTAACATCCTTCTTCATGTGCCATCAGAAGTCATATCTTTTGGAATAGGCATGCATGAAAGAAGTGCTGTGTCTTCAACCAGGTTTTGAGTTCGGGGGACTTAGATTAATAGTTTGGGAGCAAAGTCCTTTCCAACTCAATTATCTAGCCCAGAAGTTACCCAACAGAGAGGCAGCACTATAGGAAATAAAACACAATGGACTTTTAATGTATGGCTTGAAACTTGTTTATTAACAGACTACTAAAGGGGAGGATTTACCTACTAATGGATCGTAAAATTACAGCAAAGGTAAAGAAAAACTTCCCTTAATTGAATCCCAGCAGTTTTAACTAAATAGACCTTGTTTGCCAGCCCACTACAACCAGTGAGATCTACAAAGAAAAGTAAAGGTAAAAGACAAGCCGAAGAAAAACAGGGCAAAAAAAGCACTTCAGCAACTTCCACCATTGACTGAAATGGGAGTATGCGTCCCCTCCTCTTCTTGTGTGGAGGTTTCTGAGTGCTTCTGTGCTATGGTTAGCACCTATTAACAGGAGTAAGTAACTTTTCAAATCATCATCACCCACCAAAACAGCTACCAGGTCCTGTATAGAAAATGCTTCCTTCTCTCTGGGAAATAAATTTTTCCCTAAAGCAACAAATATCATCCACGGTGAGAAATCCTGACAACTCACAATGTGTCAAACAAAGGCACCAAAAAAGCACAAACCCCATCGACCTCACTTTACTCCAGACCACCCCTCTCTGGCATGGGGTCAGATTTTTTTTTTCGGTTTAAGTTACATGAATGTACGCAAAAAATCCCTATAGTTACTGACATTAAGGCTACTTGCTATGTCTGAAAGACATACAAAAGTAGTACTTAAACAGCACCTGATTTCGATGAAAGTTTTCAAGAAAGCTGCGATGCTAAGCATGGAGAAATCACTGGCAAGACACCTGGATCCAAAGTTTTTCTGAAATGATAAGCAATCTTTTGAGAATTTTAGCCTCCTGCTAGGTGAAAA